GGACCCCCCTCACCCCACCTCGGGCCCCCTCCTCACCTTCACGGCCACCAGCGTCTTCTCCTGCTCCGGGAGGAGGTTGCAGCACTCGGCCAGGAACACCTTCCCGAAGGCGCCCTCGCCCAGCTCCCACTTGAGCACGATGTCCCTGCGCTGCACGTGGTGCACACCTGGGGGGACCCCCGCCCGTCAGTGCCCCCCGGCTCGGCTGGGAGCCTGGGGGGCTGCTGGGGGACCCCCAGTCCCTTACAGGCGTTGCAGAAATACTGGGGGTTCTCGATGACGTTGCTCTTCGGCCCCTCCAGCTTGCTCTCAGCCGAGGAAAGCGGGCTGCTGCCCAGGGTCATGAAGTGCAGGGACATGGCCAGGTCGTCCTCTTGGGCCAGCACCGCCGAGCCTCGTGGGGACAAGGACAAAGGCATCAGGGGACCCCCGGTCCCTCCCCCAGCCTGTGCGGCCGGTGCCAGGCTCTGCCGAGCAAACCCCCAGTTCATCCATCCCCGGGGGCCAGGCAGCCCAAAACCATTCGATCGAACCCATTTAGAGGCTGAATCCATTCCAGGAGTGAATTAGCAGCTGCTGCCCGCGCTCCCGGGGGAGCCGGCACCTCTCCACGGGTGTCCCCCCGCCCGCCGTCCCTCTTGCCACACACCTGGGGCCCAGCCCGGGTGGCCGCAGCCCCGGGGACGCGGGCACGGCGCTGTCCCCGGCTCACAGCCCCGCTACCGAGGCACCCGGCCGGCGGCACTCACGGTTCATGCCGAACTTGGAGCGGCGCCCGCACTTGTTGAGCAGGAGGAGCAGCACGGAGAGGGAGAGGCAGGCGAACACAGCCAGCGCCACGGCCACCGAGACCTGCTCCAGCGAGGACAAGGCTGGGGCCCAGGTCCCACCAGCTGGGTTCCCACCAGCCGAGGTTCCACCAGCCGAGGTCCCACCAGCCGAGGGTCCCACCAGCCCAGGTCCCACCAGCCCAGGTCCCACCAGCCGGGGTCCCACCAGGTCTCTTTTCTCAGCCCATGGGGTGGGAACAAACCCCCGAGATGGTTACAAGCCCCAGGAGATGCCACGGGGGCGCTGAGGGTCTGTCCTTCATCCCCGTCGTACACCCCACATCCCACGCGGTGCTGGCTGCGCTGTCCCCACGGGATTTTTGTCCCCCCCTCTTCAGGCGTCCCCCCATCCCAGACGGCAGAGCGGCTCCTCACCCCAAAGGTGTGCTCATCCATGGTCTCCACAGGCCCCTCCAGCGAGCTGTTCCTGGTGCCTGGGGCAGGGAGAAGATGTAGGGTGACTGTGGGGTCCCCGTCCCCCGACGTGGCCCTGGCGAGGACCTGGACACCCCAGAAGAAGCCCTGGGGGGGTGGGTGGGACGCCCAGTTTAGGGGGGCCGGGGCAGCAATCCTGGCCACTCACCCAGTGGGGACAGAGACACTAGAGCAGGCCGAAAGGAGAGAAAGAAGAAACACTCATTATTCATCAGCTGGGAGCAGCCCATCCTTCCCCCTCTCATCCCTGGGGAAACTGAGGCACACCAGGGCTTGTACAGACAACAGGCGGAGCCCAGTACAACCCGCCCTGCCCAGCGGGTGTGGCACAGCTCCTCTGTAGGACAGGGGGGACACCCCAGGTGGCACCTACCGGGGATGGGCTCCTCAGGGCTGAAGCTGAAGGGGTTGTCCATGAAGCGCACCTGGACGCTGCGGGAGGCCGAGCCCAGGGCGTTGCGCGCCACGAGCGTGTAGTTGCCGTTGTTGACGTGGGTGGGCCGGTTGAGCTGGAGGCAGCCGTGGAGCACGGTGGAGTTGTGCTCGTACTCCATGATGAGGGTGTGGATGTAGGGTCCCTCCAGCAGCGTCGTCCCGTTGAAGAGCCAGCGGATGCTGGGGACGGGGAAGGCATCCACGGAGAAGGGGATGCACCAGAAATGCCGGGGGATGGCTGTGTCCAGCAGCAGAATCACGGGGGGAACTGGGAGAGACAGAGCTGGCTGCGTTCCCGAGCCAGACCCCTGGGCAGCCCTCACGCCAGCCCCTCCTGCGCTTCTCACAGGTGACGTTCAGCACCACGCTGTCCTCTGCCAGCCCCGCCGCGTTCTCGGCCCGGCACGTCAAGTCCTTGTGGTTGAGGTGGGAGGAGACGTTGCTGATCTCCAGGACGATCTCCCGGTCTGAGAGCTGCAGGGAACACCGGGACGGGATGAGCAGATGCCACCCCCCAAGCCTGGGCACCTCCTGCATCCCCCCACGCCCACCCCACCAGTGAGAGGGTGCTGGGGGGGGGTCAGCGCTGCTGGAGCCATACCCCTGGAAGGCTGAGCTTGCCTTGGTGACAACGAGCAGCTCGGGTCCCACCTCGGGGAGCACCTCGGGGAGCACCCACTCCGCGGTGGCCGGTGGGTTGGCGCTGACGTGGCACGTGAGGTTGGCGCTGTCCCCTTGGCGCAGCACCGCCTCGGGGGGCTCGATGCGGACGGCCGGGGGGTCTGCAGGGGTAGGAAGGGTGAGCCACGCGTGTCCCCGCATCCCTGCTATGCCAAATGGGGACAGGGGACAAAGCCAGGGGGCAAAGCCATCCCCAGCCACGTACCACAGGGCTGGAGAACCTGGCTGCCCAGGGGCACCAGCACGCTGCCCTCCCAGCAGAGCAGGGACTGGTTCCCCAGCTCGGCCCGGCTGCTGCTCTGCCACAGCTGCAGCCAGCGGAGCCCGCAGGAGCAGTTGAAGGGATTTCCCACCAAGATGCTGAGATGGAGCAGGGAAGAGAGAACACGGGCTCAAAAGGACTCCAGGAGTTGGTGCGTGTCCCAGAAGAGTCAGCCAAGGCTGCGCCTTGCGCCGCCAGCCTCCAGCTTTGTGTCACACAACGCCCAACGTGCCACCCCCTTCCCCACACCCGTGGATGCAGAGCCACCACCTCACTGCATCCCCAGCTCTGTGTCACCCACAGGGTGCACCCCCAGTGGGAGACACTCTGCGCCCACCTCCCCCCTCTCTCTCATCACTCACAGCTCTTGCAGGGGCAAATGCCAGAAGGTTTTCCAGGAAAGGCTTTGCAGAGCATTGGAGGAGAGATTCCTGTTGGGACAGCCCCCATCAGCCACCCCTTCCCACTGGAACTCCCGCCCAGCATCCGCAGAGGATGGGGGCACGGGGCTGTCACACCGTGCCCCAGCACGGCCGGCTCTGCCAGGCGTGCCACCAGCCTTCAGCGGGGAGCCCCGTGCAGCCCAGGACGGGCCCCCCCCAGTTTTTGGGGGATTCGGGAGCACAGGGCTGCCGGGGGGGCCGGCAGTTGCCCGCACTCCTGCCCAGATCGATGGTTTCCCACTCAGCAGCACAGCCCCGCCCGCCCCCGCGATGTGCCCGTGGGCAGCGGGACCATCGATCCCACGCGGGCACGGGGACCGACCACCCCGCACCGGGGCCAGCGCCCCGGGGGGACCGGGGGGACCATCCCCGAGCGGAGGGGAGGGGGAGACTCACACGTGGCTCAGCCTGGGGGTGTCCTGGAAGGCGTCGGCAGAGATGTGCTGCAGCCCCGTCCTGGAGATGGTGCTGGAAGGAGGGAAGGGCTGAGCACCCGCGCTGTGCAGCCCCAGTCTCCCTCCTGGGAGCGGCCCCTGTGGCTCCGATCGAGCCCTGGGGATCCTCCCCCTCCACCAGCCCTTCCCTCCCTCCGATTCCCCGGGCAGGGACCCCATCCCCGGGCTGCTCACAGGTTCCTGAGGTCCCGCAGCGTCCTGGTGTCAGCTCGGGTCAAGGTGGTGAGCGCCGGCTGGTTCTCGATGATGCTGGAAGGCAAAGGAGAGGGCTCAGGGTGGCAGCCCACGACCCCTCATGCCCGGGGCTGTTGGCAAAGCGTGGGGCATGAGAGCTCTCCCGCTCCCCAGGCCGTGCCCACAGCCGGGGATGGGGACAAGGATGGAGCTGAGCCACCCCACTGTGCCTCAGTTTCCCCTGGGATGAGCTGGGAAGAAGGGGGGATGGCAGCAGGTGGTCCCGGTGGTGCCGAGCCCCCGATCAGTGCGAACTGTGTGGGGTCAGGGCTGAGCCACCACTGGGAGTCCACACAGAATAAGTTTGCTGGGTCCCAGCCCCACTCACCCTTTGGGTGCCCACCTTTTCTCAAACCCCAGGGTGTCCTGCACTGTGACAGGGACACCGCTGTCACTGTCCCCCCATCGCTTTATTCTTCAGGAGATGAAGAAAAGCCCCTGTGGGAGCAGGGCTTTTCCCTGCCCCACCCCACAGGCTGCTGCTGTGAGCCCCAGATCACAGGGGTTGGTTAATGGGGTTCAGAGCCACACCAAGGGGGTTTGGCCGCCCTGACCCCCGTGAGGGTGGGATGAGAGCAGCTGGGGCAGTGGGACGGCCGGGGTTCTCTCGGGGACCACCATCCCCACCACCAGCCACCCCACCCTACCCCACCAGCCAGCGAACAAAGAGCTGGCAGCGCCTGTGGCGCAGCATCCCCTGGCACGTGGGGAAACTGAGGCACGGAGACACTGCAGCCAGGCCCCAGCGATGCGGCACAGGCAGCGCTGTGGGGTGGGGGGAAACCCCAGGAATTGGGGCACTTTGGGGGCCTGCAGCACCCCGGCACCCCCAGCACCCTCCCATCTCTGCTCGCTCCAGCCCTTGTCTCCCCACCACGCATCCTGCAGCGGGGGAAGCAGAGTGGATGCCCCAAAGCAGCAAATGTGGGGTGTGTCCCCCCCAGCATGCCAACCCACAGACCCCAGGGCACAGCGACACCCCCAGCAGGGTGGGGACAAGCGGCTGCCCACAGCCCTGCCCTGCCCAGCACGGCGTGGGCGCTCCCCGCCCGGGGTCCCTGCTGCACCCTCAGCGTTTTGCCCTGGTTGGCATCGCCGCAGGAGGGGGTGAAGAGCTGCCCCCAGCCCCTCGCTTGCTCCTTGGGGGGATGCTGCAGCCCCCCCACCCCATTTTGCAGCCCCCAGGCTCTCCCCCCGCAGCGATCCCAGCCCGTCCAGCGATCCCTGCTCCAGCCCAGCCCCGCCATCCTGTCCCCGAGCTCATCCCCTCCATCCGCAGCACTGCCCGGTCCGTCAGCTCTGCTGCCCCCAGCCACAGCACCTCACCCCCAGCCTGGTCCCCAAAATCCCTCACTCCCGACCCCATCATCTCCATCCATGTCACCGCCAACTCCATCGCTGCACCACGGCATCCCCCGGCCCCGTCACCCCCAGCTCCTCTGCCTGCTCCCCGCGCTCTGTCCCCATCAAACCCCGTCACTCCCACCCCAGACCCCGTCACCCCCACCCCAGACCCCGTCACCCCCGGTTCCACCGCGCTGCCCCATCGCTCCCGGTGCCTCTGCCCGGTGTCTGAGCTCCATCACCCCGAGCCCCGGCCCCATCGCCCCCGGCCCCACTCACACGTCGGTGAAGCTGCCGCTTCCCAGCAGCGCGGCCAGGCTGCCCACGGTGTCGGGCTCCCGGCAGAGCAAAATCCCGGCCCCGGGGCAGCGGCAGGGCCGGGGGCAGGCACCGGCAGCGCCCGGGGCTGGCAGGGACAGGGGCAGGAGCAGCGCGGCCAGGCAGAGCCAGGCGGGCAGCGGCGGCATCGCGGGGCCGGTCCCGGGGCCGGTGCCGGTCCCGGTGCCGGTGCCGCTGCTCCGGTGCCGCCCTCCCTCGCACTTGCCCGGCAGCCCGAGCACGGGGCCGTGCGGGGCTTAAAAGCAACGCACGGACCGGCCTCCCGGGAGGGGCCGGCGGCTCCCCCCGCCCCGGCACCGCCCCCGCCCCGGCCCGAGACACCCCCGGCCGTGATTCACCGGCACCGGGAATACTCCGACCCGGGGCAGGGGTCTCCGCACACGGGCACCGACCCGCCTGTGCCCTACCCGTGCCCTGCCGCCACCCTCCCTGCCGGCTGGCACCCTACACCTGCACCCCCAGCCCCACCGACGGGATCCGTCCCACCGCTGGATTCCCAAAATTCCCCCAAAATTCCTGGGGCACGCCCGTGCACACGCATGGACACACAGACGCCACACCCGCTCCAGGACCTGCCTCGCCGCGGGCTGCAGCATAAGGGACAGGGCTTATCGCCATCCCGGGGGCCACCTACAGCCCCCCAGGCTGTCACCTCCCCCGAGGGTGCCCCCAAATCTCGAGGCGTGATGGCCTCTCCTGGAAGGAGCTCTTCCCAGCACCCCGTTATGTCGGGGCGCGGAGATGCTGGAGACAGGGGGGACGTTTGGTGGCACAGTGGCCCTGTCCCCAGCTGTCACCTCCGACCAGGACCCACCTCGTCCTCCTCCCCGAGGTGGGGCAGGGCAGGACAGGGTGCCCCATGCCCACCCGGATGCTGTTTTTCCCCGAACTCGCTCGGGAGCACGTCGGGGGTGGCTCATCCGAGCGTTGATTTCTGCACGTTCTCAGCCCGCACCCTTCCCCCCGCGGCTCATCTCCACCGCCAGCCCCCAGCGGCACCCACAGGGCCACGGTTCCCTCGGGGCCACCTCCCGTGGGGCCCCACTGGACACCCCAGCACCCCCCCGGCCGAGCGGGCCAGTGGCTGTTGCCACATCCTCCTAAATTCCACTGATTTGACGTTTTTCTCGAGAAACGCCCCCGGTTTGGGCACCGCAGGGCAAAGCCACAGGACGCAGATAGGGCCGGCGGCGTGAGGAGTGGGAATCATCGTGTGCCGCCCCCCCGAGCCAGGCACCGCCGCAGCTGAGCTTCATCCCCTTTATTCGCACTCAAATTAGGCAGTGACGCCCCTGCCATGGACCAGCACGGCCTCAGCACTGGTCCCAGTGCAGGGGACTGGGGAGAGACATCAGGGCAACCTCAGGCTTCTCGGAGTGCTGTGACTCAGTTTCCCCGCCTGTGAAAGGTGTGGGGGTCACAGGGGTGGCTGACCCGCTTGCCAGGCAGCTGGGCAGCGATGACAGGGGCAGGTTGATGGGGGACCCAAATGCCAAACCCTGCTACCCATTCCCATACCCACATTATCCCACCCCCCCAAAAAAATAAGTAAGAAAAGACTGGGGTGTTCTCCTCCCAACCGGCAGCCCCCCACTCCCTCCCCCTGACTCGGAGCACCCCCAATTTAATTTTCAGGGGCAATGCACCCCACGGAACATCCTTGCCTTGCTGCCACCCTCTTCCCAAGGCACCCACTCCCCGGCTGGGCCCTTGGAAGCAATAAATAATGCAGGGGGGGTCCCAGCAGTGGGGGGTGGCAGGAGAAGGGCGTGGGGTGCAGAGTCCAGCGGGGTCCGAGGGCACCCCGGGGTCAGAGCGGGGCTGTCCCGTTGGGGAGCTGGTCCTTGCGTGCGGGCAGGGGGGACGCGGGGGGCTCATCCTCCTCGGGGGGCGGCTCTGTCTCGGTGTTGGAGGGCTCTCCCGAGCCGTGATGGCCGTTCTCGGGGCTGTAGAAGAAGGAGAGGGTGCGGAAAGCAGGCGCCATGTGGTCCTTGATGCGCTCCAGGAGCTGGACGAAGGAGGGGCGCTGGCGTGGGTTCTGCTGCCAGCACAGGCACATCAGCTCGTGGCTGTGGAGAGAGGGCACCTGCTGGCTTCGGGGGGCTCCCAGCACGGCAGAGAGGAGGATTTCCCCCGGCAGCCTTCCCCACAGCCGGCTGTGGCAGTGAGGGGGTGCCCCCCGGCACTCACAGCTTGTCGGGGCAGTTCTCGGGCCGCTCCAGGATGCCGTTGTCCATGACGAAGCGCAGGACCTGCTCGTTGGACATGCCCTGGTAGGGCTGCTCGGCCAGCGTGGCGATCTCCCACAGCACCACCCCGAAGGACCTGCCGGAGCAGCGCTGCTCAGCCGGGGCATCCCCAGACCCCCCGGCTCTGCCCACCCCGGCACCTACCAGACGTCGGACTGCGTGTTGAAGATGCCATCCTTGAGCGCCTCGGGGGACATCCAGCGCACGGGGAGCAGCCCCTTGCCCCCTTTCCGGTAATAATCCGTCTCATAGATATCCCGGGTCATGCCGAAATCTGGCGGAGGAGGAAGAGGAGGAGGAGGAAGGTGTGAGCAGCCTGCCCCGCCGCTGCCCGCCCACTGTTGGGCGATGCCCTTTGCTGACCCAGAGATGGGGCAGCTGAGAGGTGCTTTAAAAACTTTTATTCTATTTTCAGTCTCATAAGAAGGGCGAGACAATACAGATGTTATAATTCACGCCATTACAATCAGGAGCTAATGATTTCTTAATTACAATACACTCTAAGTGTTTTTTGCCTATCAGCTTTAGCTACACTATGTTGTAAATGCCTCACAGCTCATCATCTAAAATTACTCTTCGTGGGTCCTACTACAATGCATCTTTCATAATTCCATTTCTCTGAAGTATCTAGTCTTTTATGTCAGGCTATCTTTTGAAACTTGTTTCTAGTTCAATCTTTTTCTCAACAATGTCTGTCTTAGACTGTGGTGTTTCTAAGGTAGTTTCTTATCTTATCTCAAGGTTTGTATACAGATACATGCTATACGAGTCTTCTCATGTAATTCACAGAATTCACAGAATTCACAGAATCACAAGGTTGGAAGAGACCTTAAAGATCTTTGAATTCAACCCCTGCCCTAACACCTCAACTAAACCACGGCACTGAGTGCCACATCCAGATCTTAAACACATCCAGGGATGGTGACTCCACCACCTCCCTGGAAAGGCCATTCCAGAACTTTATCACTCTTTCCGTGAAAACCTTTCTCCCAATATCCAACCTGTATTTCCCTTGGCACAGCTTGAGACTGTGTCCTTTGGTTCTGTCAGGTCTTGGAGAAAGAGCCCAACCCCACCTGACTACAACCACCTTCCAGGGAGTCGTAGAGTGACAAATGCACCTCCGAGTCTCCTTTTCTCCAGGCTAAACAACCCCCAGCTCCCTCAGTTGTTCCTCACAGGGTTGGTGTTCCAAGTCCCTCACCAGCCTTGTTGCCTCCTCTGGACGCACTCAAGCATCTCAAGCATCCTCCCCAAACTGAGGGGCCCAGAACGGGACGCAGTTTTATCAGGTTTTGAGACTTTTCTGTGCATCTATTTCTCACACCCACCTCCAATCTTGACGGTGAAGTCCTCGGACACCATGCAGTTGCGGGCAGCCAGGTCCCGGTGCACGAACTTGTTGGCGCTGAGGTAGGCCATGCCGTCGGCGATCTCCCCCGCCATCTGGATCATGTCCTTGAGCGACGGCGGGGGCAGCCCGGGGTTGTTCTGCACCGTGCACGGAGTCAGGGTCACGCCAGGACCCCCCCGGACACCGGGTGAGTGTCCCCCCGGCACCTGAGCAGCCCCTCACCTCGGCTTCAGGCCTGAGCGAACGCAGGTAGCTCTTCAGGTCCCCACGTGTCATCAGCTCCATGATGACCAAAGCTGGCTGGCCCTGGGATACCACGCCGAGCAGACGGACCTGCAGGGACAAAGGGAGCTGGCACCTGAGTGGCCAGACGCCCCCGTGTCCCCTCCCTCTCCCTCAGCTGCCCACCTACCACGTGGTGGCACTTGAAGGCTTTCATGACAGAGGCCTCGTTGAGGAACTCGATGCGCTCCCGCATGGTGGCCAACTCATTGACTGTCTTCAGGGCCACCTTGGTCTCCTCTCCCTCCGTGACCAGCCCCAGCGCCACCCCCTCATACACCATCCCAAAGGAGCCCTGTCCCAGCTCCCGGATCACCGTGATCTTCTCCCGGGACACCTCCCACTCATCAGGCATGTACACTGTGGGGTGAGTGGGGAGCACCCCATCCCCATCACTGTCACTAACCCCATCTGCATCCCCATCCTCATCTCCACGTCATCACCATCCTAGTCCCTGTCCCCATTCCCATCTCCATCCCATCATCATCCTCCTCCCTGTCCCCACCCCATCCCCATCTTGATCTTCATCCCATTCCCATTCCCATTCCTATTCCCATTCCCATTCCCATCTCCATCCCATCATCTCCATCCCATCACCAACCTCTTCCCTGTCCCCACCCCATCCCCATCTTGATCTTCATCCCATTCTCATTCCCGTCTCCATGCCATCACCATCCTTCTCCCTGTCCTCATCTCCCTGCCATTCCCATTCCCATTCCCATCCCCATTCCATTCCCATTCCCATCTCCATCCCATCATCTTCATCCCATCACCATCCTCCTCCCTGTCCCCAACCCATCCCCATCTTGATCTTCATCCCATTCCCATTCCCATCTCCATCCCATCACCATCCTCCTCCCTGTCC